ACAAGGGTTTTAAGATGTGACTTAAGTGATTAAAATGGATTATGTGGGCTTACATGATAGGAGTGGTTTCTACTTTAAAACACATCCTGTTATATTTCAGTGAAATGTTTTATTTAAAAACATCATAAGTATTGAAAATATTTTAATCAATAAATCAAACTTCTTATAGTTTTTATCTTTTGGGGGGTGAAAACAATATCGTTCCATTTAGTACTATCTAAACACTGGAGGAAACACTCCATTTTAAATTTTACATATATATATATTTTATTGATTTCAGAGAGGAAGGGAGAGGGAGAGAGAGATGGAAATATCAATGATGACAGAGAATCATTGATTGGCTGCCTCCTGCACGCCCCACACTGGGGATCCAGCCTGCAACCCAGGCATGTGCCCTGACCGGGAATCCAACCAGGACCACCTGGTTCATAGGTCGATGCTCAACCACTGAGCCACACCAGCTGAGCTAACCATAAGGCTTTCTTATTTAAAAAATGTTTACATGTTATAATACTTTACTTTGAGCCACAAATATATTGGCAACAAATATTAACTTTAAATATTGTCTGCAGTCCTGGATGGTTTCCTACAAACACTGGAAGTTCCAAGTAAGGGTTGAACAGCCCTTGAGAAAGGTGAATTTGTTCGCATATTGAGCTCTGTCCTGAAATTCACTTGGACATTATGGAATTCTTCAGTCCAGACCCAAAAGGTATCATTTAGCAAGCCACTACAAGAGTGAAAGCTTCTGAAGACATAATTTCAGCAAGGATTCGTTTAGGCCCTGCAAGAATCAAGCTTTTTGGAGTTTAGAATCTGACAAGCAGCAGCTAAGCTCTTGAAAGATGAGAGTCTTGTGAGCATTTATCTGATGACTGTTTAAACAGGCAGCTGGACTCATTAAAATCATCACTTGAAATCTTTCTGTGAGAGAGCAAGGCCTTCTGAAAACACTGCTTTTGGTTTCTCTACCTCCAACTTGTCAGTACTGAAAAGAAACTTGGAGAAAATAAAAGGTAGTTTCATTTAACAGCCTCCGCACCCAGAGCTGCCTGCCCCGGGATGACAGCTGTTGCTCTTCTGTGTTCATCGTATGCACTTGGGGCGCAAGGGACAGGGAAGGGGCCAGGCTTCCCGCCCTGCTGTGGGGTGCTGTCTGTGCAGGCAGAGCCGGCCCCTCTCTGCTGGATGCGGGTTCCCTCTCTCCTCCTGCCCTCCCTGGCCTCTTGCTAGCCCCCAATTGCACCTAGTACCAGGTCCCCAATCTTGATCACCATCAAGAGCCAAGCCAACAAGTTATCAGAGGAAATGGTCGTTGCATATTCTGGTTTTCAGCAACTGTAATCAATGGCAAAGGCATTACATCGCTGACGTCTCAGTTCCTGTCCTGGGTGCCTGCTAGAAGCGCGCTCAGGAGCCTGTATCAGTCCCCCCTCCGTCATCTTGATTGATCAGATAGGACTGCTGCTGGCCTGGAGAAAGGGAAGGTGAGCCCCGGCAGCTTCCTCTCACCACAGCTCACCCAAGAGTGAGGCAACAGATCTAGAATATGATAAAAGCACAGAAACCTCCCCTGTGATAACAAAGAAAGACACTCTGCAAACGCTCTCGCTACTGATATTTCAACACCAGCTTGCTTGCCAACTTTCCGAGATTCTGAAATGTACAGAAATAGGTAAAGTTAGTCTGAACTTAATCACTTAGCTCATCTCCATAAACAGGCATGAATTGTCTCAGTTTCTTTCTTTCCCTTCTTTCTTTCTTTCTTTCTTTCTTTCTTTCTTTCTTTCTTTCTTCTTTTCCCCCCTTAACCACTTTTTGGGAGAGTAACCTAAAGTTCCGAAGAGTGGCCAGGTTGATATTTTCTCACAAGAACAAGACAAATAAACAGCCCACAAAATACCTTTGGGATGTTTAAAATTTTGAACCCAGATCTCCATCTTATTTCAAAAACAACAGTCACAGAGGTGTCATTTGCATGCTATGTTTTCTAATTACTAACAAGGAATCATCTTTATTCTGATATATGTTTAGGCTTTCTATTTTATTGCTATGCTCCTGTTTTTCACTTTATATGTGCTTTATTAGGGTAAGAATCTAAAATTACAATGAATTTAGAAGTAATCTGCCTTTGAGAATGTATAATAATAACAAAAGATAAGCCCCAAAATTATCCATCAACACGGACAGCTACAAATTCCTTTATAGCATTTGCAAAGTGTTTCTGTCTTTCTTCAAAGGCCTGTTTCTCTATTGTTTGGGACATATATGACTTTTACTTGAAAGCCACATTTCAGGTTGTTTACAATATATTTTGTTAAGTCAGCTAAATTAAATTTCACATTCACCAATTATATTTCTCCATCTGTAACCACTCACAGGGATCTTCAAGTAAGAAGTGTTTTTTAAACATTCCAAACAACTCAGATTTTTAAAGATACTATAGATTTTATGTTAGATATTTCACTAAGCTGACTAGAACTTTCATTTCTGAATATTTGGATAATATAATTATTTGCAGAATTACTTCATTTAAAAGAATGACTTCAAATATATGAGAGCTGAGAAGAGAAAAATAAATCGCTTTTATTTCTCTACACTTCCACGCTAATTAGAATATATGTGCCCAAATTTTTAATAAAGACCCAGCAAAAAGAAAATGGGAATACTTAAAATCATGCGTTCTGTTTAGACAAAAGAAAGAGGAGGAGAAAAGCAAATTTTAAAATGAAGTTTCCATGTAAGTGATTAATTTTTCTCATTCATGTGTCAGTCTCTCCATTTCCTTCCAGGCAAGGCCCTTTCCATTTCAAAGGCATCGTCAAGACCTGTTTTCTCACCATGAGATGCCTACCAAACTCTCAAAGAGAAATCGAAAAGACTCTCAAAGGACAAGGAAGTGTAAGGCACTTTGAGAGCTTTTAATCCCTGCAATTCCGTCCTTCCATATAAACCTCCAGCCTGCAGTGCTCTTCGCTAAGTTTATGGGGGGAAAAAAATTTCTTAACCAGCTGAACCAAAATATCAGAATGCATTTCGATGGGGGAAAAAAAAAACACGGAGGAGATCACTTTAGGGGAGAAAATTTATAACACTTTGTTCACCCCAAGCAAAACATTTTAACAGAAGCAACGTAATGCGAAGGAAAGGAAAAAACACGCCCCACGCAAAGGCACGTGTGGAGCAGCAAACCTGGGGAGCAGGGTTCCCCGGACAGCAGGAGAAACCAGCGAACCCTGCAAAGCCTCCAGCACATCCTCTCCAGTGATTTCCCAAGAAATAATTTCAGAATAGAGGGGGAGAGAAAAACTTTCCCAGACCCCTAGCCCTGCGATGTACAACCCAATCCCACCACTAGGTGGCGTCTGTAAAGGTGGGGGGGCGGGGGGCCTGCTGTTTTCTCAGCTTCCTCCCCTCCAGGACGCACTTTCCCGTCGGGAGAGCGCCCATCAGCCCCCACCTTGATCCAGCTCGCTACAATTTTGGATTAGGCAAAAAGAAAAAAAAAAATCAGGTCTCAGAACCTGAAGTTGCCTTTCCCACAAATCTGTTCTCACACCAAAGTTGAGCAACTGGGGGGAGGGTGGGGGGGAAGGAGGGTGGGTAATTGATAGACTGAATATTTTAAACTCTGCTGGGGTTTTCAAAGCAAACCTTCCAGGCGGCTGACGGCTTTAGAGCGACAAGTGAGGCCGGAATTACGACGTGAACGCGGGGTTGAATGGCTGGGCTGTGCACCGCCCCGGCCGCACGGCGTGTACAGAGCCACAAGGTGATGGACCCGGCTGGATCAACACAAACCGGTTCACCGCTGGCCAAAAACCCTCCCTTCGTTCCCCAAAGCGAGCGAGAGAAAATGCTGGGAAGCAGGTATGGCATTTTCGAGGGCTGCTCCCCGAGTGCCCTTCTGAAGTCCAGACCTTACTCGGGCTGCCTTCTACCTTGGGTGTCAAATAAAGTCTCCTCCCATGAAGCGGAAAAACCACTTCCCCTTTTTATAAAAAGGCTGCACACCAGAGCTCACATCTTGGCAAAGGAGATGTTACATAAAATTCCAGGTGCTCCCAAATATCGTCCGTTTACAGGCGCACAATCATTTCAGGAGCCATCTAAGTTTCTAGCCACTTTTTTTTTTTTTTTTCATCTCAAGGAAGCGTCAAAACGTGTGTTTATAGCTTTGACTTTAGGATCTCACCCACTCCGTGTAGACATTTCCTGCCAGCTAAACGCAGGAAATGTAATGATTTGCACCCAAAATGCAAATCATTACATTTAAGCACCGGCACACTTACCTTTCTTTTCTTAATGGAGCCAAAACCAAACAATTGTTACCCTCCCCCCCCCCTCACGCCCCGCCAAAAAGGGGGGGGGGGCCTCTGAAATCCTGACTTATTTTCTAGATGATTTGTACATCCACCCTCTCGTTATTCTAGGAACAGGCTGATTCCTCAACATCTTACTTTGCCTTTAAAAGGCTTCCTTCCACACGACGGGATTTCCCTGAGAAACATTCCCAGCGGATGGTTTCCAGCAACAGCCTGTATCAACTCAGCCTGCGCAGGCAAACACTTGGCTTCTGCTCATTCCCCCCCCCCCCCCCGGCCCCCACAACTCACACACACCCCAATTCACACTCCTAGAACCCGTCCCGGGCCGACTCGGAAAGCTATTTTATTTGCATGTCTGCCCATCTCTTCCCGAACCAATGCTTTCCCAACTGACCTTTTCACCAGCTGCCGAGAGGTCTGTAAGGTTAGGGCAGGAGGCTGGCACCCCCCGCCGCGGCGTGGCTCCTTCCCCGCCCAAGTCCAAACCAATGCCCGGAGCCCACGGGCAGCCCACCTGGGGCGCCGGCAGGACAGGGCAGCTCTCCGGGGTGTCCTGCTCGCGACCCACTCGCTGCGGGCATCCTGCACACGCACGCCCCGGCCCCACGCCGCCCGGCACCGCACCCGGGCCCGCGGCGAAGGGGCCGGGCGCGCACCAGCCCTGCCTCTTACCTTCCCTGGCTTTCAACAAGACCGTGTTGGCCACGATGTTTTCCAGCTCCATTGACAGTCGGCGGTCAGCGAGGGAGCCGGCCGGCGGGGCTGTCAGCGCCTGGGGGTGCTGCCGCTGCTGCTGCTGCCGCTGCTCGGGCTGCCGCCGCTGCTGCCGGAGCCGGAGCCGGGAGCCGGGAGCCCGCCTTTCCTACCGCATTATTCCTGCTCTTTTCCCTCAGAGTTTGCCCCCCTCTGCAAAGAGGAGTCGCCGCCGCCGCTTCTTCCTCCCTCTGTGTCCCCCCTCCCCCCTCCCGCAACACTCTCCCCCCCACCCCCCACCCTCCGCGTTTCTCTGTCACTCCATTCTCCTCCCCTCCGGCTCCCTCGGATGCTTTAATGCCTCGGATGCTTCTGCCTCCCCTCCGTCCCTCCCGGGGGTGTGGTACTCGCAGGCTCGGGCGGGCCTCACTGCGCAAGCGCTAGCCCGGGCCGCGCCCACTGCCTCGGCGCTCGGGGCGCGGGGCCTGCTGGGACTTGTAGTCTTCCCGGCGCGCCGCGCTGTGGCCCGGGTGGCACGCCGCTGCGGGAGTCCGAGACCCGCCCGGGGACCCGCACCCACTGTGAAGGCGGGCGCAGCGCTGCAAGACACGGCGGGGGAATCAGAGGCGGCCCGGCTGAGCCGGAGCCCTCAGTCCTGGGGCCGGACTCGCACGCCCACGCCCCGGGATCCGGCTCGCCCGTTTCCCGCCCGGCCGAGAGCCCGGAAAGCGAAGTCACAGGCCGCGGCGGCGGCGGCAGCAAAGTGCCACGGCCCAGCCGGAGCCGGTGCGTGCGAGTCAGGCCGACCGTCTGGACCTACTCGGGACTGGAGAAAGGTCGGCCCGGCCCGGCCGTGCGCCGCACCCCCTTCCCCTGGGCCACGCCGGGCCCACGCGGGCGCTGCAGCCCAGGAACAGGGAGGCACGCCCGCGGGCCCCGCACCCGGCGGCCCGTAACTGTGCGCCGTCTCACACGCACACGTGCCGGGTCGCCGACAAAGGTGTACTTTGTTTCCTCCCAGGGCGCGAAGGGATCTGCCACTCGGCGGCGACCGGGCACTTGGCGGCCGCGTCGGTGGCCGCGCAGCCCGAGCGCCCCCTGGCGGCGGCTGGCGCCCGGGACGGCCCGCGCCGGTGGCCAGGACTCCGGGCGTCCCTGCGTGGGAAGCGGCCGGTGTGGCTAATAAACCGCCTTATAGCACGTGGGGCCCGCAAATCAACGGTCCGCATTACAGCCAAACTCATTGAGATGAATAAACACGAAGAGGGAGTCGCCGGAGTCGGCATTGGGGAGTGTTCATGAGTGAGAGCCACAACCTGGTGTTGGAAACGCGTTTGCGAATTCCGGGCTTCCTTATATTGGGGCTCTTAGCGCCTTCCGACTGAATGCTCAGAACGCCAGACTCGGACTCAGCCTCTCTTCCTCCGAAGGCCCCCCTCCCGGGGAACGGGCGCTCCGTCACCCTGGGGTCTGCGACCAGTGCCCTCTGGGCGGGGGGAGGAGTGAGCTGACCCTAAGAACAATGAGGCCTTTGCCTCCTCTGCATCCTGCGGTCCGGATATCCGTTCCGTTCTGAAGCTGGCTATGGGCCTTCTCTGTGCAAAAGGAGGAAACCTTCTGTCCCCAGGGCTGCCAGGAAGTGGCAGGGAGGTGCCGGGAGAGGCCGAGAACAATTATTAGGCATTGGAGAATATAAAGAAATTAACAGACTTTCCAGGCCTTGGAAACCAGAATGGTTGCTGATTCTGACAACACCGGATTGTTTGTTTCCTAATGGAATAGACCCACCACCACCACCTCCACTTCCTCGGGTCTGGATGTGGGTCAGTGGGTCTCCCTGGGCCTTTCTTGTCTTGTCTGCAAAGTAGGGGCGGAAACAGTTTACCTGTCAGTAGGCAGAGAGCTGAGCAGATGACTTAGGCACCTTCCGCTCCAGGAACTGTTGTCCTAGGTAAGCCACGCAGGCTTGGTCTTGGCTGCATATCCACAGGCCCAGAGCCCTAACTTAGAATGGAAGGGTCTGAGCCATCAACTACAATGATCACTTGATGGCAGGCAGCTTAAGGCCTGCTGCAGCCCTAAGTTTATCTTGGCTGACATTAAAAAAACAACAAAACACACTTTAAAAACTAAAGTCAATGTGAATGCCTTCCATGCCGGGTGCTCCCTAGCAGCCTTCTCAAACTCGTATGTGCATACAGATCATCTAAGGATATTGTTAACGTGTAGATTCTCTTTCACTAGGTTTGTGATGGGTCCTGAGGTTCTCCCGTTTCTAAGGAACTCCAAGGTTCTGTCGACCCTGCTGGTCAGTGCACCACCTTTGAGTAGCAAAACTCTCCAGTTAATATAATCCTCACCACCCTCCATTGCCTAATGTCTAGCCCAAGTCACCAGTGATTTTACTTCTTTTGCTTCTATAGGCTTTTGAGTGTGTGACACTGGAAAATCCCTGCCTGCCCCCCCCCCCTCCTTTTAGAATAAGTAGTTCTGTGTAGTCTTTAAGCAAGTGAAAGCCTATCTGCTTCTCTGCCACATGGTAATACATCCTGCCTACAAAATAAATGGCTGTACTTCAAGTATCTGTGCCTCTCTGAAAAACATTAGGACATTCCAATACAAGAATGGAATGATAATGGCTAGATTTACTGGATACCCTGTGTAATCCAGGTCCTGTGCTAACTGCTTTCCCTGCATTATTTCATCGACCACAGCATCTGGGTGAGGTAGAGACATAGCCGCATTTTATAGATAAAGTCACCAGGTTAGAAAAGGTTTTATAACTTATTTAAGGTCACACAACTAATAGTAAGTAGAAGACCTGGGATTTGAACCAAGCAGTCTGAATCAGAGTCTATGCACTGAATTTCTGGTTAGTTCAGGCCGACAGGCAGAACTTTGTTGCTATTGTTCTGTTTGGCTGAATTTAAATTGTAAGAAGGCAAAGCAGGCAGTTGGCTAAGTGATGAAGACTTAATAGGGTTTTCCATCCTCGTCCATAATCCCACCATTATAGCTTCATTCCTTTCAATTAACTGCATTAACTACTCACAGTCCCCTTGAAAAATGGGTTGGATTCATTAAATATCAGTAGGTAAATAGAGAATCTTGTTGGCTGATAGCAAGAATGGAAATCCAACTAGAGGACAGGGTACGTTTGAGAGGGATGGGAATATGCCAAAGACAAATACTGGCTTCCAAGCCACTCAGGATCAGTTGAGCTGGAAATCAAAAGAAACATGGAATCGTCTCATTCTGTCGGCACCTGTCTCACATGGCTAAAGCTGCTCCGTCAGACTTCTTGTAAATAGGAATTGACTATTTTGGAAAGTGATAAACCTATCTTTGTCCTAATACATGGGTTGCTTTGGCCTGGATAATCAAACTGGCTTTTTGAATAGTGCCAGAGCTGGAGTTTTCATGTCTTTCCTGGCCTCACAGCTTTCTAATCATCAGGAAGCAGTTGGAGACAGTGTTTTCATTCTCCCACTTATTCCCTCATTCTTCAAAGTTTACCGTTGTGTGCCAAGCACTGTAGGGAATAACAAGGTGATTTCCCAGAAGAGGAAGGACGGCAAACTGGGAAGCAACCCACTGAGCTGGAATAAGGGGTGTTGTGGACATATATACAAAGGACTTGGAAACAGAGAGAGAAAAGTGATTTCAGGCACCTGGGAAGATTCTAAGGCAGAGAAATGAGAACTGAAAGTGGGGTTGCAGTCATGAGGTGGCTAGTTGCGTTCCCTCCCCTCTGAGAAGACCCTTCATCGATGGGCCCCAGTAGTTACCAAATTTAACATTAAAATGTTTGCTATGCAGCACGGCCAACATGGCTCAGGGGTTGAGCATCGATCGACCTATGAATCAGGAGGTCACGGTTCTATTCCTCATCAGGGCACATGCTGGGGTTGCAGGCTTGATTCCCCAGTAGAGGGCGTGCAGGAGGCAGTCAATGATTCTCATCATTGATGTTTCTATCTCACTCTCCTCCCTTCCTCTCTGAAATCAATCAATCTATATATTATTTTTGCTATGCGGTAGACCACCTATCATTTTTCTGTTAATATTTTTCTTTGAAGTCAAGTTGTTTTAAAACTTTTAATGCACCCAGCCAATCACATTTGTGAAGTGTGAGGAGCAGTAGAAGTATCACACACACTTCAGAAAATACTGACCTCCAAGCAACACACCTCCAAGCAATGGGGCCTGGGCAGCCTTTGGTTCAGGATGAACCAGCTGATGACAAATCTGTCGGGAGGCTTCACCCTGGTGTTGCTGGATGATGATGATGACCTCTGGCCATCTAAGCACCCAGCTTGATAACAAGACTCTCCCGGTTCATCCTCTGAGCTCCGAACTCAAGTTCAGAAAAGAGATTCCTGGTGCAATGCACATGTCTGCTGACGGTCACAACCACGTGTGGTCCCTGTGAGGACACAAGGCCTCCTTCCCTGGTGCCACATTCAGTTAGCAGAGTCCCCACGGTAGACTTACTTGGGCACTGACTGCTAAAAAGTTGTTGCCTCCGTTGTACTTAGAGGGGGTCTGTTGCCCAAGGTCAATGCTAAGTGGGTGGTAAGGATATTTATTTAGGTAAGTGGCTGCCCTCCCTACTCAAAGGCCTGAACATGCTAAATGCCTTACATGTAGTGAGTATTTGGCAATATTTGCTGACTTGGAGCAAATATGGCATCACTCAACCTCACTTACGCCTCTGGGATACTAGTTAACATTCAAAATTCCCACATCTCTGCCAGATCGGAGATAACCAGGTATCAGAGGTCAACATCACAGAAAGCCATGGGCAATCTCTCAGGGCCTAGAGTCCCTTCCAGCTGTCTGACTGTTCCTCCATCTTCAAAGGCAGCTGACGCCTGTGATCAGCCTAGTAGTTAAACTGATCATACAACTTTAAAAGGAACTAAGCAGACCAAGTTCAATTCACTTTTTAGAGTAAGCGGAACACAAAGTATTTACCCTAAAAAATGGTGCAGTGCTGAGCAATCAGGTAGATTCAGATGGAGGAAAAATGTTCAAATTGGTAAGGAAATCACACCGCAAAAGTATACAAATTAAGAGTGGGAAAAGGAAAAACAGGCTCTTCTCACATATTCTACTGAAAAGTCAATGATTTTCTGTTAATATGGATAAGCAAAAATTCCAAACCATCACTATGGTCTTTTTTTTTCTTCTTTTTTTTTTTTTTCTTTTTTTGAGAGAGAGAGAGAGAAAAGAAGATGGGTAAAGATTGATTTGC